AGTTTGTGTGGAAATTTTCCAGCCCAGATCGCAGCCAATGTGTTGCCAACTGTAGAATTTAATCGACGCCTACTCTAATTTATTTTTTATTTGATCGCACGGTACTTACAAAAACGAAATCAAAAAACACTCATATCAAAATAACATTTTTGTTGATTACTATACCTACTAGATAATTGCTATATCTTCAGTTAACAGTATATTATGTTATTAAGAGTAAAAGTGGTGGTTTTTGACGCAAAGCTGAATGTTTCAAATGAGCCACATAAATACTACTTTTATTCCGAATAACATATACATCCACAAACGTATAATTAGCAAGTAAATGAACAAAATAATCAGAACAGTAGTGCAATTTGTGTTAAGATTTCCGAAAGGGTTTATTAATTTAACTAGTGCAGTTAGTAGTGCAAAATGCCGAATGTTGATGATCTACAATGTACGTTTAGTGATATTGGTGAAACCGCAAAAGAAACAAGAAAGAAACAACATTGTTAAATGTCAATAATGTCATGGTAAAAGTAAAAACTCTTAAGCGCAAAAATAGAATTTAGTCATAAAAGAGGTCATTTTTTGGAGATTAAGATTAATATATCATGAGACAATTTTGTGTAAATTTTAAACTTATACTATTTTTGCAACATTACTAAAAAAATTATAATAGTTACAGGCTGAGTAACATATAATAAAGACCCTGAACGATTTTTAGACGCAACCCAAAATACATTCTCACAGTCAACTTTTCTTTTTATATTTTTGAAAAATTTAGTTTATTAAATTTAAATCAAAGTAATTGTTGATATGTCATTCATTAGTTAAATTTGACAGTGTCAAAAATTCCACTTTTTTTCCCCTTGAATTCAAAATTTACTCAAACAGAACATTAATTAACGCGTAGTGGTATCTGAGAATGTATTTGGGTTGCATCTGAAACTCGTTTTTTTTTATTATATGTATATGACTCACCTTGTATGTATTAATCTGAATTTTGCTTCAACATTTTTATAATTTTCTAAAAATAAAACCCAAATGCTTTTCAAACTTTTTTTTCAAAATTTCTGTAGTTTTGCATGAAAATTCAGTAAGTAGTAAATTGGTTTAAATATAACGTACGCAATCAAGTG